CCCCAAAACCCCAAAACCCCAAAACCCCACTTACAAGATTTCAACTAAATAAGAATATCTAAGAGAAATTTAATAGCGAATTTTTAATAAATTAGATAATTTAGATAATCTAAAGAAATGCTGAAATTAAAACACAAGCAGCAAAATACTTCATAAAAATACTATTCTCGAATCATAAAGAGCTATTAGCAAAACAATGAAAATTTTAGTCGCAAGAATTAGGATTTGCTTGCCCCTGAATAAATTGAATTCGATCAAGAGAACGATTATAGCGAGAATCAAAATAGGAAACTTAAAGGTAAAAATGATTCAGCTATGAGTTTGACTAAGGAAAAAGATAATTAGAATGATGAGTAATTTAGTCAGTACTTAAAAGAGCTGACTATGGCACCAACATAATTCAAGAAACATCAGAAAAAGAGAGCGAACTTGCAAATATTTGAATAAATCAAATCTCATATTCAAAAAAGCATTAATATAGATCCAGAGCTAGTCAATCCAGTTATAAAGAAGAATGCGCCCATGAGTGAATTTGCACTACTTAGGCAGGCTACTATTAAAAAGAGTTTTGAATTGAATCCTTCTTAATTAACTTAGTTAACACCTTAGAAACCATCTTAACAAAATCCTCTTCCTGCTTCATAATCGATTGATTATGAGAAACTTGCAAAGCAAGTCAGAAGATTAAGTCATATACATTCGTTAAAACTTTTTAGAGAACAAAACAAAGAGAGATCTGGCTCAAAGCAGAAGATAAGACTTTCTATCACTAAAAATGTTATCTAGGAAGAAGATGAAGATAACTAAATATTAGATAATGAAGATGAATACTCAGATGACTATCAAGGTCCATAAATATCAATTGCTCCACTTTCAAAGCAAAAAACTATTTTGCTCAAACATCCTTCAACGATGGAATACAAGTTTGTTACTATTGAACCTAAATCTCGTAGAGTTTAACTTAAAAGAGAATTAAAAGATTTAAGTTAATAAAAATTGAGAGAATATCATTAGGCAAAGAAAAGACTAGAGGGAGTAGATTAAGAAAATGATGATGATTATTTAAGTGATGGAGATGTTTCTAATAACTCAAGAACAAATAGTAAATAAGCAAATAATGAAGAATTGAGTGGCAAGATAAAAAATATAACAGAACTTGCATAACTGAAAAGATCTGCAACACTTTCTAATTTAGACTAGTAGGACAATTAAAATCTTTTACCTAAGTCATCAGCGGAGGAATACTATAAAAATGGAATAAAGGCTGGAGCAAATGAATAGCCAGATTTTTCATTCATATTTAGACTAACATAGAATTCAGCTGGTGGCTTTTAAAATTTTGAGCAGATTGATCCACCTGACATTGACAAATAATTAATGAACCAAAAACAAAGAGAAAAGCCCTTTGAAATAAAAGTTTAAAAAGTTCATAAGAAAAAAGAGCCTGAATAAAATGCAAATAGCATTAAATTTTCTTAAAACTTGAAGAAAAACTTGATATTAAATTACTAGAAGCAAGTTTAAAAAGGAAATCAGAATGCTTAATACAATAGTAGCCAATCTCCAAATAAATCAAAAAATTCTGCTAATCATTCTCATACTACTTTTAGCTCGTCATCGAATGAAGAAACCCTGATTGATTCAGATATGGATGATCAATTAAATAAAGAAGATAAAAGGAAAAAAGTTCTAGAGGCAATATAGAGATAAAAACTAGAACTTTTCGATGATTTATTAGAGACAGTCGATGCTAGATTGAGAGAATCGATTCTTACACAATAGTTACTATTTCCTTAAACTCAATTTTAATAGCCATCATCTTCATCAACAAACTTCTTTAAAGCAAGAATGCTTAGTACATAGGGAGGCTTATTGAGTACCAAAAATTAAAATACTACTTCCCACTTTTTTCCTGATACGGATAAGCAGCAAGCTTTGGCGAGGAGTAGTTCCTAATAAAAACTTCATCACAAAGATACTAATGGAATAGATAAAAAATAATATAGAATAAAGTCTTACTAAGTTGAGATGACCAGAAGTTAATTTAATGTCGCTAATCTACCATTCATAAAATATGGTCCCGAAATACTTTAAGATAGAAACTACCAGTTCAAAATTATTAAAGATGAAATGAGTGTTTTATATGACAAGCTTGTGGAATTTAAAACTATGCTAACTTACAAATACTCTGTAATTTAATTTTTGATGATAATTTTCTATAGTTTTAATCCATTATTGTGTTTCAGACAATGGGGTAGTAAAGCTAGAAAAGATTTAATGTGCAATTTGAAGAACTAATTGGATTTACTATCGAAACAATTCAAGTTATCTTACTAAGTAATAAAATTTTTTAAGAATAAATTGTAATTTTAGAATTCGGAAACGATCCTAATAGAATCGGATTAAAAGATTATTCAAAGATATTGTAGCAGAATGTTAAGGTTAAAAATGAGACTGCAGCATTCAAAGATAACTAAACTCTATTTATTGATTTGACTGATATGTATAAGAAGTCATTTGATGCTTACTATATTATGACTAAGATGCTTGGTTTTTAATCAATCCATTATGAGGCTAATTAAAAGCTTCAACAGTATATATGCAGAGGTCGCTTATCATGTAAGGAACTTATGGAAGATTTCAGAACTTAAGAGACATTACTCAATAGAGAGTTTTAAAAAGAAAAGATGTATATTGAAAGTATGTTAATGAGAGGAGAAGATCTTTACAACTACAAATACAGAAACAAATTAGACTAGACTACAATAAAAGCAGTGTAGAACAAAAAAGACAAGGAGACATTTTCTTATCAGTATATACACTATTTTTTGGAGCAGTAGAGTCTTGCTTATGCTAAAAAACTCAAGAAAATCCAATAAGATTATCAAAATTAGCAACATTTATCTGAGAAGAGAAAATAAGAAGAGGCAGAGAGAGAAAAACTTGATAAGTAGCTAGAAGCGAATCCCAACATGTTCTTAGTAGATCCTAAGTTTATTGAGATGATGAATAATAATAAGTCACCAAAGAAAAAAAATAAGAAGAAGGGAACTAAATCATAAATTATCAAACCAGTTAGTTAGTTTGGAGATTAAGTATACATTCCAGAGCCCCCAGTACTTAAAGGTAAAACTAAATACAAAGTAGAAGCCAAAATTTAGACATAGCCTTAATTCACAGGTAAATAAGCACTAGATTTAAAACTTCAAATAAAAGAAGTGATGAAAAATCTAAGAAATATGGCAAACTAAAAGGCTTAGACTAAGGCAAAAGATAAGGATAAAAAAGATTCAAGTTTTGACAGCATGAGTGGCGTTGCATTTTAAGGCCCTCCTGTGAGAGAAGCTGAAAACTATATTTCAAATGAGACAAGAGAGTTTATTCAGAATACTATAAATAAGAATAAGCTGAAGAGCGCAGGTTTTTTGCATCCAGCTCAACTAGAGAAAATGATATACCTAGAGAAGTAAGTCTAATATTTTTATGAAATCAATTATTAGTGATGATGAAGAGGTCAACAAAATTCAAGTTCAAACTATTAAAGGGAAAGATAATAAGACATTAGAAGTTATGCTCTTGCATTCAAAAAGCGAACTTAAAGCATTAAAGGAAGTTGAGAAAGCAGTAAGAATAGGTTTGTAGAGTTGCAAAGAAACCAAGAAACTCTAATCAATGAGCTAGTCTTTGAGGGACATCGTGATGATGACTAATCCAAAGAGCTATAAAAAGATTAAATCAAAATAATAGGAAGATCATAATCATTAAGACTAGGACGAAAGTTGATAATAACTTAACCAATTTAATTTTCTGAAAAATACCAAACTTTGAAACAGATAGCTTATTTTCAAGTTTTAATTAATTTCTTAATGAATATTTAAGATTTATTCTATTTATTGATTTTAGTAAATTTAATAATATAATTGCTATAATATATTTATTAACTGTATAATTAATGAAACGAAATTACACTCTTCAGAATCCTAAAAATAGAGTTACAAAATTAATGTATGATCCCTTAAATGTTTTTACTATTTAGGGAAACTAATGAAAATAGATCTTTATATATAAGATTAGGCTAGATTAAATCTTCAGTTGATAACAAACCACCTTAAAGAAATATTCATTTATATTTGAGATCTAAGGAAAGATAAGCCAAGAACCAAGAAATTAAAACAATCAACTAATCGAATGAGATACTTTTAGAGAGAATGTTTTCTATTTTCACTGTAAGTCAAAGAGATAATACTTTAATCAAAACTTTAATGTGGACTATAGAGGAAAAGACCAAGATAGAAAGGATTTGATTGCAATGGAAAGCCGTTTGTAAGATCTGAGCATGATTTGAAAACTCTTAACTTTTAAATAAGAAAGAACGATAATGAAAAAATTACTAATCAAAACTCCACAATGCTTATCAAGTTGTAGCAGGCATAGCCTAGAATAATCAATTAGAATTAGTGGAAATAGCATTTGGAGAATTACTCATCAATGAAAAGAATGATTAGGTATTATGGCACTAATAGCAATGAAAAGTAAAGCCTTAATGGAGAATATTAAAAAAGAAATAGTAAAATTATGAGCAGTTATGGATCAAGGCAAAGTGATCTAAATAAATCAGCATATGCTACTCATTCTCAAGGAATGCTTGGTAGTTTCTACAATGATCCTCAAAAGACTCACTAAAACAGGTCAAGATATGGTCATACTTTATCTACAGCTATCCCAATGAAGAAAAGGGCCATATTTTCATTTTAAAATCGTAGTTTTTCCACTGAGGGAGGTTTAAATACCTAAGACAACATGTATCTTGATAGACCCTAAACAGCCTATATCAATACTTTTAAGAAGGGAGGAATAGATAATTAAAATAACTAGACAGCTAGCAATAATTATATCAATAGGACTCTGGAATTCGCTGACAATTAACCTCTTTATGGCGAAGATGATGATGAAATTAAGGCAGCAACAATAGAACTTAAATGATTGAAATCATGTTTAAAATTTATCTGAATTTTCAATTCATTATTATCAGTGATTTTAAGTATGCTGGGGTTTTGGGGTTTTGGGGTTTTGGGG